CAGACACTGGCTGAAGATAAGTATCGATTCTTACAGCCTTCTGACTGTCCACCAGTATTAAGTATCAGCACAGGCCCTAGTACATTATAAATGTTCAATGAGCATTAAATCAACAAAAATTTTATTGAGCATTATCTGTGTGCAACATGTTATCCTGGGTCCTGTTTAATGGGCTAGCTACCAAAATAGTGGGTTCGGGGAAGCAACAGCTTAACTGCCAACTCCAAAGCCACTTCAACACACATACGTCAAGAGTGTAACACAGAAGAAAACATCTTTGATGAAGAAGCTGTGGGATTCAAGATACTTGCCTCTTTCCAACTACTCCCAAATCTGGAAAGAGCCCCTTCCCCTCTCATTACAAACAGCTGGAACAAGAGTGACATGTTTTACATTTGTGCCCAAAGCAACGTCAAATACAGGGTCTCACAGACTCTTCAAGGGGGTCCCTGCCTTCTGGGCATGACCATGCTCGGTATAGAAGAAAAAGCCTGGGGGGAGTCTGGCCTGTCCGAAGTGAGTGGGAGGGCCACCCAAGGCGGGGAGGCCTCAGAGTACCACAAAGCTGACATGGTCCAGAACACCTGGAGGTCTGCAGGACACAGGACTTCCTCTTCACTTTACATGTGAAAACTGACAACTTCCTGTAATTCACTACCAACCTGATAGTGTTCATACAGACCAGCAAAGTAAAATAGCGTCGTTTGGGACCCAATCAGCTTGGGAATGGTCTTCCACTTTTCAAGCACAGAGAATACTCAGATTTTAGTTCTAGCTCTCCCAGGTACTCCGTGAGTGAATTCTAATAACTTGTCAAAGGGAGATAATAAGACCCGAACTGCATACTGCCAAGGGTAGATGTGAGGACGAAATCAGATAATGGATGGGAAGGTAACTTGAAAAGGTAAAAGCACTATACGAATGCATGATAGCAAGAGTAATACTAGAGGGAAAAGAGATTCCACTGAGAACATGTTTGAAACAGAATGGATGGTTCAGACTAACCCAGCAGTTTACCTTCTTTCCTTTATAGTCCATTAATTTCATTTAACAATTACTGACTAGGTACTTACTATGTGCAAACAGTGAGCATACACAAACGTGAAGAACTTGTAGATTCTGCCGCCACGGAGTCTGTGTGGGAGAGGAACACGTTTTTGGTCCCTGGAAGGATGTGGAAGTGCTACAGAAGTTCTATGCAAGTTCGGAAGAGGATAGTTTGGGGAGGGGGTGGAGAGGAGAGGGGAGAGAACAATCAGAGACAGCCTCAGGGAGGCACTGAGGCCACTTCTTCCCTCTTTGATTTAACAACAGCACGCTTAGAGGCTCTTCATTTGAGGAAGTGGCTTATAGGTTCTGCACATTTTTATCTGAAAACTTTTCCTGAGCTGAGGCAAGCCAAGAAATGGAAAAAAAAAGTGCTCATTCATACATTCAGTAAACATGCACTGATTGCTGGGAATACTACTAGGGATATAGTGATGACCAAGCCACAGTCCCTTTCTCAGTAACTTGCAGACTAGGGGGTCACTGACAAGTAAACCAACGATTCAAGTCCAGATGCTAATGAGGGTCAGAGCAAGGAGACCCGGCTCAGTTTAGTGGGGTGTGGGGGCCTGTTCAGGGGAGACCCTCAGAAGAGGCAAAGCCTGCCCTTATTCTGGAAGAATGAGTGCACCTTGGCCTGGTGGATGAGGCGGCGAGGGGTGGGAGCAAAGGGCATTGCAGTAGAGGAACAATGCATATAGAGGGGCAGAGGCACGAGAGGCCAGGGAAAGCTGAGACACAGGAGTAACGTGGACAGCCAGATCCAGAAAGGCCTTATAAGTTACGGCCCAGAGTCAGGCCTTTATCCTGAAGATGATGGGGAGGAGGGCATATACAGTGAGAACACTGGGGGGGGGGGGGAACAGGTCCCAAGGAATACCAATATTTAAGGGACAGACAGAGGTAGAAGAGCCCAGAAGAGTCAGAAAACAATCATATTTGCATAGTCTCCATTTTTTTCACAACAGGCTTGGGTGGCAGCGTCAGCTTGGATTATCCATTCCATGTCAGAGGTGGAGAAAACAAGACCGAGGAAGGTTAAATGCCTGACCAGGCCACACTGTGAAGGAGGGAACCAGAACCTGAACTCAGCCCTCTACCTCCCAGCCACATTTATCTGCACTGACTCTAATTTCCTTCATTCTGAGTCAAACCTCTGGATCCCTAGTATAGGAAGATTTCCTCCAGGACTACTTTTTCCCTTGACATTGAACCCAAAGAGCATCAAGGCATGTGGTTCCAGGGAAGGCTATAACCCCTGAAGACAGCGAAGCCAGGTAAATAAGCCAGATTCTTCTTAATTCTGTTGAATTCTCCCTCCATACAATAATAAAGACACATACACATAAGAAGAGAGAGGAGACCAGCAGAAGGAGAGGAGAGGGAAGCACCTGACTTAAGCCCAAATGGTGAATCAGTGATCTGACATATGAACATAAAATGCCTCCTTCCTCGCAGGGCACACCACTGGACAGCCTGGCTTAAAGACACGTGGGTGGTCAGTGGGTGAATGCATGGGTAGATGAACAGGAAGGCAGCAGGTACCCACAAAACAAACGGGGTGGGCAGGCTGCATGCACAGAGGAAGCGAGGAACAAAGACCTCTTACTCTTCATGCAAAATCCACAGTGTGCAAAGGGCATCAATATTGGACATTTCTCACTGTGACATTTTGAAAGCCTGGCCTAGCCCAGAACAATGGTTACCCTCTGGGGACCAGGGGCTGAGTGCCCCTAGGCCTTATTCAATGATGGCTTGGCATACCCCATGTGCTTGGTGAACTCGACCTTGGGCATCAGCCTCCCATGATGGCTCTACGTCACTCTGGTCTCTTCCCCCACTGAGAATTCCAGTCTTGGATGAATGGATGGATTCATTCTGGGAGCAGGAAAACCACTCCAGGAGTGAATCAGAAGGACCCAGCCCTGGTCCCTTTGCCAGCCATTGAGCCAGGAACTGAGTGTGATTGTGTGCCCAGGCGCCGGTGCTGTTCCCCTCTCAGGGAGATAGGGTCAGGGTCCACGTAAGAGATGACGTAGTCGCCCTCTAAAGAAGAAGAAAAAGGAATCTCAGCTTTGAGGGACAAAGCCGCCCTTTTGGTTCTGACCCTCAGTCCAAAGAGGTGCCAAGCTGCACATGTACTAATAAGTTAATTCTACAGGATAAAAATCGCAGCTTTTGCTGAACAGTTAGTTGTCAATTTCAATTCTCTGCAGCCTGACAGACCTCAGGAAATAGGCTACTACTTTTTCAGAAAAAAGCTTCTTCAAGATGGGGGGGAACAACACGCCTCAGATCACCAAGAGAATATTCTACTCTGGTCTGGGCTCTGTTCTCCTCCCGATTTGTGAAGAAAAGGTCAATTTATTTTTAAATTTGTAAATGCCACTGTAAGCAATATAAAGCATCTGAACTTCCTGCTTTCTTACCTTGAAAAATTAAGCAAGAGAACTCCAACGATTCAAGGTGCAGCAGGCAAGAGGACATCTGTATCACGAGGCTGGGAGACCCAGGCTGACATTTTAAGGAAGTAATTCCTCTAGGAAAGGGAACTGAAGGATTGCCACTTTGCCCATCGTTAACTAGGTTATAACAAGATGGGAAAGTTAGCTAACTTTCAAGGCTCTAGCCCCGTATTGGCCTCCTGGAGCTAAGGTGGAGGGAAAAGGAGCAGTTCCTACCGGGGCTTATTAGGGCACTGCTCCAGGCTGCCCTCATGTGCAGGCACCAACTGTCTAACATTTGTCCGTCAATCTTTGTCTAAGAAACAGGAGGGAGGAGGGGACAGAAATGGTTTAAATTTTGTATTACAGAATTGTCCTGAACACTGACTGACATTAGCTGCTTGTCGCCAGAGCTTAGTCTCCACTAATGGTCAAATGTGAGCCCGTTAAGAGCCTTCCTGAAGGATACTCTACTATCTTCATTCATTCATGACTAGTTATCACACATTTACTTTGTGTAAAGAAACAGCTAGACTATGAGGACAGAGTGGCAAACATGTTCCCGATGCTAATGGACCTTGGATTCCAAAAGGTTTGATTCATCTTGTACATCCCCGGGGGGGTGGGGTCAATGTGTTCAGACAAGCAAACTACGGCTGGATCCTCTGAGGTTTCGCATTATGGATATGCAGGTCCTTGGGCCTGAAGGTAAGGCCCTTTGGGCAAACTGAGTCTTACAAACTAAATCAACCATTAAATATTATGAAGTATCTACCATGAACCTAGCACATATGGCAACGTACCTTCCAACTCTGGAGTCGTGACTCTACATCTCTGAGACTCCTAGCATCTTTTCTCATGGCCTGCTAGTCCCCATAATGTTTAAGCTTACCAACCGCTATTTTCAAGAGAAAGCAGTGAGTGGGTAATGGCCCTGGAAATGATTAAAACTAGTCCAATCCCACACTGGGAGTGTGGGTGTGGGTGTTCAATTCTGGACCTTTCCAAAAGAGAAGCAAGTTTTGTCCTTTGAAGACTGTTAAGTGGTGCAAAAGCTAGTCATCTGAAAGCGAGTGGCTGTTTGATCAGTGAACTGGGCCCAGACTGCCAGTGAGGGCTACAGCTCTGGGGCCGCGGGAGCGGTGAAAAGATGCCCACAGGGAGAAAGAAGGCATTTACTCCACCTCAGCGGATATTTACAAGAGGAGGAGGCGGGAAAGTTCCTCACTTCAAGCAGCTGGGAGAAGACGGGACGAGCTTGGAAGAGAAAGAGTCAGGAAACAGACGCAGGATTCCAGGCCAAGGAGATCCCCCGCCCCATATCCCGGTGAGTCCTGCCGACAGACGGAGCCTCCGGGAAAGCACCAGAGGAAGGGCCCTCGAACGACCCTGGGTGGAGGGTCCGTGTGGGCAAGGCAGGCAGCGGGGGCGAAGGGACTCAGGTGGGCGCGGGCAAGGCGCACGGCGGGCCTGGGGCTCCAGCGGCTGTGCTGTCCCGGCCTCACTCACCAGCTCATGGTCCTGAACCTGGCCCTGCTGCCGGGGTCCTCGGCCGCTACAGGGTCCTCAGGGATCACTTCCGGATTCAGCCAGTCTCCAGGAAGTGACGTAACCCCGCCCACTGTGCCCGGAAGAGGCGGGGGTGGGCGGGGCGCAGGGAGTTAACCCTTCCGCGGCGGCGGGCGTCCCGCTCACTTGCCCCGGCCCGCGACCTGGGGTATTGCCTCACGGGGCTTGGGGTTCAGCCTGTGCCGGCGGCGTGGGAACCCCCGGGTGCGTTTTCTGCCTGAGACACTGGCTTGTAAAATTCTCATTCGCTTACTACACGTGCCTCTTAACCTTGTTATTGCCTCAGTTTTTCTGTCTGTAAAGAGATTTCTAATCCAGAGACAGTAGCAGTATTTGTTGATGGGAGAAGGAGCCATGGGGTCATCTGAAGTCTGGGGAGACTTACATTCACTGTATGGTCTTTAATATCTTTTAAATTTTGTACCCTGCACATGCCTTACCTGTTACAAAGAAACAAATGGATCTATTCCCTTCTGTGAGATGGCATAGGGCTCTGAATATAAATAGGTGCTTTTCAGGTTGGAAATGTTCCGTAGCTTTAACCAACAAAAGAGAAAAAAGAGTAAGGATTGCTCCACGTCTCCCAGTTCTTCCCTCTGCTCCCCTCTACAGAGCCCAGATGATGTGAATGGTCCCATTCTTTTTACTTGGTCATTTAACAAATATTCACTGAGCTCCTGCAATGTGCCAGGCACTGTGTTAACCTAAAGGATACAACCATGAAAAAGAAGTAAGGATCTTGCCCTTATTCTCTCCCAGAGCTACTTACCTAGAGAGAGAAGTAACTGGCAACTAAGTAATAACATAGGTTGGAAAAGGACAGGGCACTGTGGCTGCCTATAAGGGGCTCCTGCAAGCTGCCCATGGGTTTTAGTGAAGGCTTCTAGGAGACACCAATGTGTAATCCAAGTCCTGAAGGCTCATCAGGCTAGGTAGGGTAATCCTAGATGAGGGCTGGAGAGGGTCCAGGCAGAGGAAACCTGTCTTAGCTGAGAGGGGGACTGCGTTCCAGGTAAACGGCTCACTTTGGGTCTCCCAAGGTCAGAATCCAGGTCCTTAGTGCCTCAGAAGCTGCCTGGGGTCCAGGGCCATGTTGGCCTCCTCACCCCTAAGAACCTCTCTGCATCAGAAGAGAGGAGCAGGCAGTGAGGCCTGTACAGGTTAACTGCTGGGCCCACAAGGGCCTTCTCTCTGAGAATTCTCTTCCTTCAAATGGATCTTAAATGTTTTAGGGTCATTTGGAGAGCAGCTAAGTCATTGAACAGAAGACATGTGTTACTTGTCCCGACTTCCCAGGGCAGAGTGGACGGCTTGGTCAGGAGGAGTAGGGGGCTCAGAGGATCGTCCACAAGAGACAGTCTCTCATTTGTGTTTCCTGTTTCCATCTTTGAGGGTCTAGAGTTTGACTCAACAGAGGTTTTCCAGCCAAGTGTGTTACACAGATCGGCTTCATCACCATGTTCTTCCTCAGGAAACAGGCCAAAATGAGCACTAGAGAAGGCTTGAAGAATAAAGATGAGGAGAAGTCACCAAAAGGCAGCCAGAGCACAGAGTGGGCAAAGGGAGGGACAGTCCCTGCTGCTGTGTACAAGGTGTGGTGGGTGCTGTGGTTTAGGAACCATCTGACATTCTAACACCTGCAGATGGCTCTCCGACCTGCTTCTTCCTTTCCCCACACTCTGTATCCCTTAGTTATTGTCCCAGAGTGTTAAATAATTTCTAAAAGTATTAGCCTAGGCAACCACCATGTCCCAGGGGAAGTCTGTTTCAAGGCAGTGGGTAGGAGACACATCCTATGGGACAAGAATGATGAGTTCTGGATTAAGAGTCTGAAGGAGCCCTGGGTTTTAGTTCGGTCTTTGACACTAGGATTGACCTCAGGAAATCACATCCTCTCTCTGGGCCTTGACCCCCTTGTCTAGAAGATGAGTGGTTGGATATCACCTAAGTTGCCAACACTCTGAGGTTTTAAGTTGACTGTCTTGTTGACTGAAGAAACCCTCAGGAAATAGGAGAATGGGGAAAGCCTGTGGGGTGGGGCCTGCACAGAGAAGCAAGCTGAGAGAAGTGAGCAGCTCTGAGGAATCAGTGACATCTTGGGAGGAAGCCAAACATGAATCTTCTGGAAGGGAAGGATTCAGCTTGCGGCCAAGCTAGGGCTGCTTACCTCCAATCCCTGCTATTTAATGTGGCCTGCAGGACCTCGGAGGGTACTGGAAAGGATGCTGGCCTCCTAGGAGTCTGTCAGGAAAGTGCCCCTGCTCTGAGTTCTCATCTGTGGCTCATTTGCTCAGCCTGAATGAGGTGTGCCAGGCTGAGGATGGATGGCCAGGTCCCCTGCTGCCCTGTGGACCCACAAGCTTCCCTCCATGAGCATGACTTGCCATGTGGCATTGATCCCTGGGCAGCTGAACAGCAGGAAGCACAAACACCTCCCACTGCCCTAGAAAACTCAGCTGCAGGGTCTCCAGACCCAGGGGTGGGAGCTATGTCCTTCTTCAGAACCAAAGAGCAGCACCACAGAGGCTGATCCTGCCCCTTCAGGGGAGGGGTGGAAGAGGAGCAAATTCAGTGTCTATGTGGAAGCTCAGAGTGGAGGATCTTGGGTAGAAGTGGATGCTTCTGGCTGCAAGCCTGGTGAACACGGCTTCCTCCCCCAGAGTCTGAGCCTGAAGTTCAAAGAGTATTCAGGTGGCAAAGATCTGCCTGGGCAGACAAAGTTGTGCACCAGAGGGAAAGCAGCCAGAGAACCAGCTGTGCCACCACACCCCTTCCTTCTTGGAGCATTTCATTCAGAAATTGGTAAGCATCACCCCCCCCCCCCGCCCCCACTGACCCTCCTCTCTGGGCTTGTCGTATATGCCCTCCGCACACAGAGGTCTAGGCCTGACTCTTTGATTGTCTCACCACGCCAGCCTCTAATTAGCTAAGAGCAAGGATTCCAGAACTGGAGCCGGGCCATTAGGGGTTTCATCACAACATAAGGGCTGAGATTCAAGGGGCTGACTGGTAAGGGGCTAAATTGGTGGGCTGAGCCCCCTTGCAGCCCCAAAGTCTTTGGTGCCCAGGAGGCTCCTGCAGCATAAATTAATGACTGAGACCCTCAGGTTTCTATATGTCTTCACTACCCACTTGGCTCTGTATCTGCTCAGCGAGATGCCTCAGAACAAGAGTTCCTTGGGCAGCCATGGGCCAAGGACATGGCAGAGGAGCAAGGGTGGAGGAAGATGGAAGCTATGAGGGTAAGAGTTTCCAGTGGTGGGAAGCACACCTCAGTGGCTCAAAGGTCATGGTAGAGTGGCAAGTCAAAGGCTGCGCTAGCTAAGCAGTCAGGACCAGGAATACTGTCTGGACCCTGGCTCTGTCTCCACGTAGCTTGAGGGAGTCTCTTCCCCCCTTGGGGGGCATCTCATCTTTCTTGACTGTAATATAAAGAGTCCAGGTTAGATCTGGGATGGCAAATGGGTGCCATCCCACTTGCCAGCTCCAATTGCTGGTTACCGGCTGCCTGGAGTGCCATACTGAGACTTCTGGGGAGTCTGCCATTGGCGGGGAATTTCTGTGATTGATTAGCAATGTCTGCTTTGGGTGACTAAGAAGGTTCATTCCACTTTATTATTTTGTTGTTGTTACTGTTTTTATTATGAGCTAATAATTGAGCTCTCACGATGTGAGTGAGTGGTTCTGTTTTAGTTGTTTACAACAACCCTGTGAAGTAGGTACTATTACTGTGATCAACACAGAGCACAGCTGGTAAGTAGGGAAATGGAATTCTGATCCAAGCAACCTGGCCCTGAGCCTTATGCTCTTCCCCACGGTGGTACATCACCTGTCACTGGTGATTCCTCAAGTTCCTACCACTTCTGACAACCTATAGTTCTGTCAAGGCCAAGTGGGAGGGAGCAGCAGACGCCTGCAGATAAGAGAAACACAAATGGAATGGTGGGGTTGGGGCTGGAGGGCAGGCTCGCAGGAGACCAGGCACCTAACAAGGGACTGGCGCTCGGCCTCATCCTGGGCGCTTTTATATGCTTCCTCCAGCTTGGCAAGCTGAGGACCAGCAGGTGGCAGCACCTGGCAGGGTGAGTGAGAGCAGAGGGCAGATCCTGACTTGGCACGGAAGTCCTTCAGGGATCAGACAGCCCAGATGTCGAGGAAAGCAAGGACAAAGGAGGGTGTGCAGGAAGGCTATCCAAGGGCCAGGAGGAAGAAAGCCCGAGCCTCAGACCCACAGGGAGCTCCCATGGCCAATGCTTTAGTTCCACCCGCAGCGTGAGCCTCTCAGCTTGCATTTCATGGTGCCTGCTGTGGGCTTTTTTTTTTCCTCCACTCTGGGAGAATGACTAACTTTAAGGACTAAAAAAAAAAAGTGTTTTGATTACACTGCCTTTTTACCAACTGGGAGCATTAGTCACCGTGGATTGCTGCAGATAACGGGGAAGGCGAGCAGCATCCCCCTCCTCCCCCTCCTTCTCCCTGATTAGCTCACAGAAGCCAAGGAGGAGACATGAGTGAGAAAGAGTGCACCCAGCAGGGGAAACAGTGCCCCTGGACAACACGTGTCCCAGGCATCATTCCCAGGGCAGCCCCCTGATGGCTTCACCTGTAGTAGGAGGCACCCACTAGAAAGAACTGGCAGGGGGAGCATTGAGCCCATGCTCCCCGGGGTCTGAGTTGGCTCCAGGTGGCTGTTCCTCCAGGTGGGTCCAGGGTACATCTGGAAGGGGGAAGACAGAGGGAAGCCACTGGAGACATAGCCCCTGAGGTGGGGCATTGGTGGCTGAGGAGGATGAGGGAGCCCACGATGGCTGTGACACAGGGCTGGGGCCCAGGCTGTGGTGGGGCTAGACAGTTGCTGCCTAGGGCTGGGGCCTCAGAGCTCAGCCTGGCGTTGAGCAGTTCCTGCAGGTGGGGACAGTCCCACTTTCCATGCCCCATACTCCAGCATTCTCCCTTCCTCTCCATCCTCAAGGCGGCAGTATCGGGCACCTTGCATGGCCTTCTTTGCTCCTGCCTTGGTGCCGATGGGGCAGAGGAGCCAAAGCGCTCTCCCGGTTGTCCTGTTGTCCTGG